CAGTAATTGAAATAATCTAAATTTTATTTCTATACTTTAACAGGATGAAGGAATCAATATTTTTAGTTGATGATTATTTTATAACTATTAAGTTGATTAATCGATGTTTTAAATTGTTGTCTTCGAAGGCATCCAAGTTATACATTGAAAACTTGAGAAATAGCATATCTAATTATTAGAGGATGAAAAAAAATATTAAAAAACAAGCGGTACAACCTGATCGAGTTGAATCGACCTAAACATCTTTCATCTAATTTAGATGAATTTATAGATAGCACGGAGTGCATATACATCAGTAATCGTGGTTCTGATTATAGTGTGAGTCAGTTATTCATGATATTTTCTTTTTCACTTTCACTTTCTTCTTTCCCTTCATATTTATATCGTATAGATATCTTACATACTATCATATCTTTTTCTAAGTGTCCTTAGAGTTTTGTCTAGTTTATCAATTCTTATGAAGTTGCTCTTTAGAAAATAAAGAAGAGCTTTATTTTTTATCTACTAGATCAATAACCGTTGGACAACAGTTATCGATAGTCACTGCTTTGTTCGATTTTTTTAATAAGAATACTGCAAAATGGTGCTTCGAAATGAATCTGTCTTAGAATTTAGTATACGATTTGTAAAGCTTTTTCAGAAATTTTTACAAAATTTTATTAATTATCGTATTTTTTCAAGTGCTGACGGGAGCTATAGCTTTCTTTCATTCCATTTCAGTAAGGAACACTGCCTTTACCTTCAATATCTTCAACATTCCACATCAATGCTAGACTAACTAATGCTTTGATACACAATAATGCACTTTTGTTATGTGAGAGATCATCAGAGATCTAATAAGCTGTCTTTTTAAAAAGATTTCTCAATTTTCAAAATTTATTGCATTCTTGTTTAAAAGAAAGAAAAATATATTGATGAAATCATTGTATTGCCGATTTTTCTTCAAATAAACTTTTAAATGCCAATATGTTATTTAATCAAATTTTCGCAATTTTTTCCAGTATATTGTTGACCACAGTAGCAAAAATATGAGTTTCCATTGTTGTAGCAAGGACGATTATTTCGACATGGATTTGGAGTGCATGTTATGCCTAGTTAAAAAAATAATTTAGAAAAATAATGAATTATATTCACCAAGTTAATTGTTTCAAGAAAATACGTATTTATATAGCTGACTCTATAGAAAACTTTGCATGATGGTAGAACGATATTGAATATAAAGCAGTATGCTTAATTTAGTTTTTCAGAAACTTAGATGAAAATCTATAAACTACTTACGCGTTGTTGGTGTTGTCATTGTCGATGTTGGCGTTGTAAATGTTGGCGTTGTAAATGTTGACAACGTCACTGTCGATGGTGTTTCTAAATAAGCAGAAGCTTTCGCAATGATAATCGTATTTTCGAACAAAGATAGCAGAAAAAATATTTTGTATCTGAAATGACATACGAGATGGTGTTGCTCCTCTAGGTATTTCGCATTGGAGGCCCAAAAATTCTGGTGGACACTGACAACGTGCTTGATTATTAACTGCAATACAGGTTCCAGAATTGCAATAACCTGGTGGTACATAAGTACATGGTATATTTGTTGTAGATGGTGTTGATTGAGTAGCGACAGTCGTCGTTGCTTCTAATTTCTGACAACGATTACCTGTCCAAGGGAGCGAGCACACACATTTTGGGGTGTTACTCTCTAATTTGCAAATGCCATTGTTCAAACAATAGTCAAAGCAATCTAGAATAACATATATGGTTTTCACAGACGATAAGAAAAAGATTCATACATACCTGATAAATCTTCACAGTACTCCCCAGTATATGGATATGGACAAAAGCACTTAAATGCAACACCTTCTACAAAACAAATTCCGGTATTTTTGCAGTAACCTGCTGGAGCCGAATCGCAAGGATTGCTACGAACAAATGTCATGTCAACCTGTGAATTATACATTTGCTTGGTTAACGAAGAATCTCGAGGAGAATCACAGCGGTGTCCCGTCCATTCAGGTAAACAAATGCACTGTAGACCATTATTGGTTTCGATACAAAGGCCATCATTTGAACAATAGTCCAAGCATTCATTAGAGATAGAATTCGATTGAATAAGTTGAAGACTTGAAAGAAAAAGAATGATAATCAAAGTAGAAACACTAGGATAAGAATGATGATGAATCATTGTTTGCTTCGTTTTGATAGTATTGTTAGGATGTAATTGGTTACACTAAACTGCAGTAGCCTTATATGAGTATGCTTGTCTTTGCTACTTTCAGTCGTAATTTGATAGTATCATGACACAATATCATACCTACGACTGTTGGTAATCTTTTAATTTTTACTTTTAAAACGGAACCGGATTAGTGCTCTTGTGTCTCATTAGAGCGGTTTTTACGATCGAATTTCCAGTTTGTGTAATGCCGAGATTCTCTGTAAGCTGTTTCGTAATCTGAGATATTTATGACACTGACTTCAAGTAAACTCTTGATTGCTAATACTTGAAGAAATGAATATTGAACAGCCACATTTTGAAGTATGATAAATTATTGGTGATTATTATTTTGATTTAAGTATGTAGGCTTGTAAAAGCTAACACCAAGCATTTCGACTTGTTTTCAATCAGTGTTCATCAGATGACTTATGAATCTTCAAGCTGATCAAAAATTTTGCCGATTTCAACAGCCAAGTTGAAATACACCATGATAGCTTCTACATGACCATAGTGCCTAGAGTATATATGGACTATAGCTGATTACCCTGCATGATATCACGCAATGCATCAATCGATGTACAACGTTTTTTTTTGTCAACACTGATCTATTGTTTATCTGTCATCTTCTTTACCAGCACTAACACAATCAGAACAATAACAAAAATACGAGATGAATGAAGATTTTAGAGAAGCTCTAGAAAATAGCACTTTATACGTACTCTAGGACATGATGATGATAGTGCCTCTAAATTATTATAATTGCTACAGCTAATAAATGACAGAATTATGTTGATATTTGTAAATCTGGACTATATACAGAAATTGACAGTATACTAGGTAACTGTTTCGGGACCATTAAAAAAGTCAATAAATTCAAAAGTACAAGCATACTGTTTCGCTTAGCGATATTCCATCAAAATGAAGCGATAATGTTTCGTAAAGTAGTCCTACAAAAAGTTACGAAAGCTACTGAAGATAATAAGTATTATGACGAAAGTAGTTAATTTCGCAATTTTTTAATACAACCGAACATACTTAGGTGAGTCCAAAAGTAGTTGCGGAGGTATGATAATCTTTCAAAGGAGGGTTCGATAATCTTTTTCCGATACAGTTTGACAGAGAAAAGAAAGCTCTATTTTTCTATGCTATTTGAACTTATTCAGGCTAATCCTATGATAATAAAATTTCTATAAGATTTAATTTAGTCAGACGTGTGCTGGCTGCACTATATCATATTTTGTGTTCCATGCGCGTAATATTCTTGCCATTCTTGAGGGTGTGAGTATTTTGTTGCTATGCATTGTTCTATACCATACCCACACCCCAAAGTATCGTACCATCAACACTAATACTTCTCCTATCATAAATTTTCACAAGCATATATCTCATATGTGAGATCGAACAATCACTGTTTCTTCCACACATCAAAAATAAATTTCGAGATTCAAATGTAATTGATTTGTTTACACAAATATCAGCGTATAGTTTTTTGATCGACTATAACAACACTTTTACCTAAAGAAAAGCGAAAAGTAAAATGGGTGGAAAGTTTAAATAGGAAAAAACACTCACGATGGCAAGTGTATAACACAAATGAAAAATTAATGATTGTTAAATAGACAAGACACGTTCCGTTGATTCACGTAAACATACGTAAATGAAGAAAACTGAAAGAGTATCGTCCAATATATATACGGTGGACAGGCAACAGCAGATACAACAGAAAAAAAACTCTCGTTCTCCAACATCACACTTACGTAAGTATAGTTTATTTCCAACAGTATTACGCTTATCAAGTTTAAGAAAAATAAATTCGAGAAATATTAGAAAAGATTTTTTCTTTTGTATATGTTGAGAATGAGCATACAAGTATTCAAAAGATTATCAATTTATAGACCATCTGTACGAATACTAAATGATCTACTAGTCAGCATTAATCTTATATTTAGACTGCGGGAAAATTCAAGTGAATGACTTTTCATCTGGAGACATTGGCTATCAATGAGAGACTACGCATTTTAGGCACACCGCTACGTAGTTTTCTTTTATGCATAATTTTGAATTACGAAATAGATAGAACTAAAGGCTGAACTTATTCAAAAGAAATTGTAATGTAGAATTTTCAACAATATTTAGCAAGTTATTTAGTCTTCAAATCGCCCTATGACGAGTCTATGGGCTTTTTGATTTCGAACTCAACTTTGAAAAAAGAAAAGACATCCTTTATATACGGGAGGTGGTGGGATAGAAGACTAAATATATTCTCAGTTTCTGACGCAAAAACAAAAATAATCACTAATATTAAAGACACCCAACTCAGAATTTTCTCATTTCAGTCACTAAATTATATTCAAATGTCATGAAATTCTTGAGAATAACGATCACACCTTCCACAGTATATAGTACTCAACATTAATCACATACTACATTAAACTCGTGATCTTCTAGGGCCCATCATTGACATAGTAATGAATTGTACAGCTACTGATATATACACCTTTCTGTTTTTGGATGTGGGGCTTGCGGAACTGTGGGAGGCTTTAGAATTCATTAGTATGCCAGGCAGAATTGAGTTTTAGGCAAAATTAAACCATACTTTTTTAAATTTCAATTTAATATGGCATCCAATGAAAAAATTAAAAAAACTGTCTACGATAAATAGAGTTTCTAAGACACAAAGTGAATTAAAACTTAACAATATAAGTTTTAATAGTTGAATGGGTATCGACAAGATAACTC